ATTAAATGATATTGGTGCAACATATGTTTCGAGAAAATATCTCGTTATCAGGCACGACGTCAGAAATTTAGTAAAGAAAGTACATTATCTAGTTTTGGATCTCGATAATATCATCGGTTTCGTATGTTAATTAAACATTCAAACAGCAAATAGAAAAAACAATTATTTTTTAAAAAAGGGGTGAGTTATCCAAAATTGTTTTTTTAATTGTACAGATCAAGATATTAAAAAATTAAAACTACACTATTATAAAATTACGTTGTTCAAATAAAACTTAGAAAACTATCAGAACAGAAATATACAGGGTGATTCACATAAGAACCAACACAGAGCAGGGACATAAAGAGGACAATAAATTAAGATTATTTAACGTAACTTACCTCTATACTAAGTTGTACACCTGAGGAGTTATAGGCCTTCAAAGTTGGCTCTTAAATTTTCAAAAAGTTAAATATTTTCGTAATACATTAAGCTAGAAACACCAAATTTGGTATACATTATGAGTGTACCAAGGGTATTAATTGGTAACAAATTGAACTCAATTGAGGCATTTCAAAGGATTGATTAAGGGTGATGGTACCCTAAATGTTGTCAGATTTTTTAACCTTTTGGCGGATTTAATACATTACTACTTCATTTCATGTGGAATTAAATTCTAAGAAAAACTGTCGTTTTCATAAAAACTTAAATAACCAAAGACACGTATTTCGTAATGTTACTTAAAATAAGCGAAAATTCAGTAGTCGTCTATGAAATTGTACGTCAAACTTGACAAATAGGTTATAAAGTTATTTGACGATAAGGTTTTATAACCTATTTGTCAAGTTTGACGCACAATTTCACAGCCGACTACTGAATTTTCGATGATTCTAAGTAGCTTTAGTTTTTTGAGTTTTTTATGGAAATGACAATGTTTTTTAAAAAATAATAAGAGTAAAAAAAGTTTTAGAACTAAATTCCACATCAAATAAGGTAATAATGTATTAAATCCACCAAAAGGTTAAAAAAGTCTGTCAAAATTTAGGGGACCATCACCCTTAATCAACCCCTTGAAATGCCTCAATTGGTCTCAACTTGCTACCAATTAATACACTCGGTACACTCATAACGTATACCAAATTTGGTTTTTCTAGCTTAATGTATTACGAAGATATTCAATGTTTTAAAAATTTAAGACCCAACTTTGAAGGCCTATAATTCCTCAGAGGTACAACTTACAATTAGTCACTTCTGCAATACTGTAGTGTGCCATAGAAAAAAATAACGTGCAAAACTGATAACAGTCATTAAATGATATTTCAATGCCTGAAGCAGTTGTAAATGATTATTTTTTTTTTATTTTTCATACATAAACTGGATACATTTCTTAATTAAGTTAAGCTTAGTACAATGGCTGCGTCAGCTGAAGTCGTTGAGGAAATTCCTCCTGAAGTAATTAGCGAAGTAGAAATAGAAATAACTGAAGAAATTCAAAATGGTAAGAGAGAATAATAAACATAATTAACGCCAAAGGTATTTCCAAAATTTAAACATTAACATTAATTGTAACTTTAGAAGAGGAAAACAATTAAAACATTTTCCGAACATTGTCTTACGATTAGTCACTTCTGTAATACTGTAGTGTGCCATAGAAAAAAATAACGTGCAAAACTGATAACAGTCATTAAATGATATTTCAATGCCTGAAGCAGTTGTAAATGATTAATTTTTCCCATGGCACACTACAGTATAACACAAGTGACTTTAAGAGAATGTTCGGAAACTATTTACAGTTTTTCTCTACTACAATTACAATTAATGTTAATGTATTGTAAAGCAATGGGTTCAGAAAAAAAATTTCTATCCAATAACATGACAAAAAACATACCGAGCAATTTGAAAATCAAAAGTTGATAATCGCTTGAAATTGAAGATGGCGTTGGAAAAAAGTTTATTTGTAGCATGAATCATAGTATTCATCACACCTTTTCATTTGATACCACCCTCATGATCGGGAATCGGAATGTAAATGACAGAGTTACAGCTTGCGGCATCCTTGTGTGACAACCTGCATATACAGGTGTGTTTTCTCTGCTAATATTACATTATACATGTATTGTACATCAATGGATTCAGAAAAACAAACTCTATCCAATGACGCGAAGAAAAATATACGCAGCCATTTGAAAAACAAAAGTTAATAACCGCTTGAAATTGAAGATGGCGTTAAAAAAAATTATTTGCAGCATGCATCACAGTATTCCTCAAACCATTTCATTTGATACCTCGCTCATGAAAATCGGAATGTAAATGACAGAGTTACAGCTTTTGACGTTTTTTAACTGACATCCTGTATATACAGGGTGTTAATAAACAAACTTTACACACGCTGGCAGGTGATAGTATTCATAGGTCTAATACTCATTGGTTTTCTGAGATACGGCTTTTACAAAAAAAAAATTACAACACGCAACGCATTTAGCACACTCGTTATCGCGGAGATTTTCAAACTGTCGTCCTTCCTCTTGTAAACAAAGTTGCACTCGTTGTCGAAGAGAATTACGCACTCGATTGAAAGCAGTTTGATTTCTTAGTTGCTGGCAACCGACTACTATTCTCTGCCAAAGTTCATCTTCTTTATAAACTTCCGTGGCATAAACAATACCTTTTCTATGTCCCCAAACAAAAAAATCCATTGGCGTTAGATCAAGAGATCTTGGTGGCCACGCGACAGGTCCTCCATGACCAATCCATCTGTTTTCGAATCGTTCGTTTAAATAGGTTCTTACGTTTAGCGAATAGTGGGCTGGGGCTCTATCATGAATAAAATACATGTTTCTAATAACGTCTAATGGCACATCTTCCAGTAACTCGTTTAAATTGTCACGCAGAAAGTTCAAGTAGATTTGACCATTTAACCGACTCGGTAAACGAAGTGGTAAAATTAAAAAGTCACCCACAGTGCCGGACCAGACATTTATCGAATATCCAAATTTATGGTTTCTAACATGAGTTGCGTGCGGATTTTCATCAGATAGGTCTACTTATTCGCCTGGTACTCACGTGGGGATTATTATCTACAGCTTGCAAAATATTATCTTCGGTGTTTGGCGTGCGGACTGTACGAGGTTTGCCAGTGTCTGATTTTGGCGACTTAAAGCATCCTGTTTCTCTGATCCTACGGTCGACTTCTTGAAAGGTTGGATGAGAGGGAATATGCCTCGTAGGATATCTCTGCTGGTAAATTCGTCTAGCTTCACGCGAATTTCGACGAGCTTCGCCATAACATAAATGCATATCGGCGTATTCCGCAAATGTAAATTGAACCATTGCGAAAATAAGCTAGCTTAAATAAGAATAAGTCACAAAATATTTATTGACATGCAGTATCTGCGGCTGTTGTTTTATCGCGTTAATGGTAACGCGATATCGCATTCAAATTTAAAGCTGACAATGAAAATTTAAAAATTCCATATCTGGAAAACCAATGAGTATTGAACCTATGTGTATTAGGATTTTTTTCTTGTTTTTATCTCTACTATCACCTGCCAGCGTGTGTAAAGTTTGTTTATTAACACCCTCTGTATACACGATGTCAGATAAAAAACGCCCCAAGCTGTAACTCTGTCATTTACATTCCGATTTTCATGAATTGAATTTTGTAGCATGAATCATCGCGTCATTGGATAGAGTTTGGTTTTCTAATTCCATTGATGTACAATACATCCATTTTAAATATAATATTAGCAGAGAAAAGACACCTGTATAATATGCAGGTTGTCACACAAGGATGCCGCAAGCTGTAACTCTGTCATTTAGATTCTGATTTTCATGAGGGTGGTATCAAATGAAAAGGTGTGATGAATACTATGATTCATGCTACAAATAAACTTTTTCCAACGCCATCTTCAATTTCAAGCGATTATTAACTTTTGATTTTCAAATTGCTCGGTATGTTTTTCGTCATGTTATTGGATAGAGATTTTTTTTCTAAACCCATTGCTGTAAAATACGTTAACATTAATTGTAATAAAAAAATAGCCCCTAAAAAAATGAAGTTGTGGTACTTCAAAATTTCAAAAAGTTAACGTGCCATAGTAAAGTGACCAAACGATCTAGACAGCCGTTCTTGGCACCAAAACATACTCCATCATGTTGCTTAAGCATGTTCTGAATCCTAAATTGATATCCCAAAAATTTCTGATTCTCTGATTTTTTGAACAAATCTCTGCTGGAGCAGATTTTTCTAGAAAAATTCGAATAACTCGAGAACGGCCAAATCAAATTACAAAAAGTAAAGTTATTCATAAACCTTGAAAACAGACAAATCCAAATATGTATAAATATACAGGGTGTTCCATTTAGAAAAATAAGGTTGGTGGCGACTTCCGGTATAACCGGAAGCGCTAGAAATCTGAAAATATTTTAGTCGAAGAGATCGCAATTGATAATACTTAAGTCTGAGTTCTCAAATTTTTATTTTGGCCGGAACCCCAGAAACGTCTAATGATCGGTGTCGGTAAGACACTCTGTATATGGGTACAAAGAATTCATAACTCAAGTGAACTCGGTTGTAAATAAATAAATACAAACGATAAGAAGCTAATAAAAACATTACAAATTACAACAATGTAATGATTTGAACTTCCAACGTTTTAATACATAAACTGGATAAATTTCTTAATTAAGTTAAGCTTAGTACAATGGCTGCGTCAGTTGAAGTGGTTGAGAAAATTCCTCCTGAAGTAATTAGCGAAGTAAGAATAGAAATAATTGAAGAAATTCAAAATGGTAAGAGAGAATAATAAACGTAACGAGTATGATATTTTCAAAATTTTTAAAACATTTACAAATTTTAAACATTTATAACTGAAAGTTAGACAACCCATTTTACACTTCTAAATTAAACATTCAAACATAGATTTACAATATTATAAACAATCATTTATATGGTATTGTTCAGTATTTCTTTATTGAATTTATTAGAAAAACTAACTAAACAACCCAAATGACTTTATAGATTAAAATTAATTGAATTATTGCTGCGCCATCTGTGAGTGAGTAACCAAAGAATAACTAAACTCGATCGATACACGAGGAGTTTTTAGGTTGTCAAGAAGCAAAAACGTTCTGCCAGTTGTGTTAATAGATTGGTGGCCATCTTGTAGATCTGATAAAAAGAGGAAAATCTCAGGTATTACTTTACGTACTCACATAAAACTTGTTTACCACATCGCTAGTCGTATTTAAGTTTTATTGCGATTAATTTCACGTTAACCAATATGAAACATCCGATTTTTTCGTCGATTCTATCAATCAAGAGTACCTCTTGATTACCTAACGCACGTTCCACACACATACACCAATTAAAATAACGCCAATAATCATGGACCCCCTTCATAGATCCAGTTATTTTTAATTAAAAATATAATACTTTTATTAAAACTGCAGTCTCAAGATGATATCTTAGAATGTATCACAGCTCCTGATTCAGTTAATTATACCTGCAAGTTCTCTTGTAGGTTGCGCACATTATTACTACACTACAGTGAGATGAATCCATCGTCGGCGTCGACGGTGGGATTCTGGAATGATCCACCACCGCCTGGTTTAGAAGACATCCAAGAAGTTCCAAAGTACGAACCTGACAAGGTTTCCGATCGCGATAAAATCATGGTTGAACAAAAATACAGAGATCGACACAGTTATCGCCGTCGATCTCGGAGCCGATCGTACGATAGATCACATAGATCTCGTTCGAGATCAAGAGAAAAATCAAGGAGACGTCGCAGTCGTAGCAGAAAGAAGCATAGAAAATCGCGTAGTAGATCGAGGGGTCATTACAGACACAAGAGTAGATCAGTGAGTCGAAGTATTTCCAGAGATAGGAGTAGTCGACACAAGCATAAAGAGAAAAAGCGAAAGAGATCTCATTCAAGATCCCGTAAACATTCCAGATCTAGATCAAGGTCAAGGAAACATCACTACTCAAAAACTTCTAGAAAATCTTATTCTAGATCACCACATTCTAATAAGAACGATTATTCAGATAGAGATGAGAATAAAGATGTAGACGACGATGATAACGATGCTGAAAATAAAAATGCATTTAAAAACGATGGTTCATTTTTGGAATTATATAAAAAAATGCAAGAAGAGCAACAACAAAAGGCTGAAGCTTCTAAGATTGAGACACCAGCAACTGGAGGTGAAATGAAAAAACCAATGTTTGGTAAACGAAGAGGCGGGAGAGTACTTAAAACCGGAATGGTTGCTAAAAGTAAACAGGGCGATGATGAACTTGGTGTTGAACCGCAAGACCCTTGGTCGATTTATTTGAAGGAAGTTAAACGCTATAAAGAAGCTTGTTGTGATGATGATTCAAAAACAAGACCGCTAGTTAAATAATTAATAAAAAACTTTAATAATTTATATAATTTTTGGACTTATCTCAGTTAACTAAATAGGTAAAAAATAAAAAAAAAAAATTAGAAAGTCATCTCCACAAAAACACAAAAATTAACTTATTTTAAAACCCACTCTTTGATTTTCATTGTTTATTTTTTAATTGGTTTCAGACATGCCAGCTGCAATGCTTTCTGAAGGTACCGTATCGACGGCCCCATTCGACCCACGGTTCCCAAATACAAACCAAACGAGGTATTGCTATCAAAGTTACTTGGATTTTCATCGTTGCCAGAAAGTCAAGGGTCAGGGTTACGCGCCGTGCAACTATTTCAAGAAAATGTATGAAGCGCTCTGTCCTAATGCTTGGGTGGAAAAATGGGATGACCAAATTGATGGAGGAAGTTTCTCTGGACACATCTAAGCTGGGTCTCAAACCACCCTCTTACCATTCGTCAGTCAACTCTAGTTAACTGTAGCTACAATTTTTATGTGTTCTAATTTATGAACATTTAATTAAATAAACTTATGTAAATACGGTTACTTTTAATTTTAATAAATAAATTTATCGCCCTAAAATTTTATTTTGGTTTCAATTTTAATTAAAATTGACAGTTTTAATTTTGCTGTTTATTTTATTTTACTCATACAGGTATTTACAAAATTTGTTAATAATTTATGACATGTAAATCAAGAGAGGAAATACATTTCAAACTGTAACACGTTCGCTGCGTAAACTTAACTTTCACTTACAAGGGAAGCTAATAGCACTTGGGGCGAGTTATATATATATTCGCTTATAGCCTGAAGACGAAAATAGCTACAGAAATAGTAAATGTAAACTGATATTCATTTTCAAAGAGCTTTCCATTGATATATCACACATATATCTGAAGGCTTCAGGGGGTAAACTATCCCTAGTTTTTTGGAATATTTTAAAAACTACCGTGTCGATTTTGGCGAATATTAATTACGTGTTTATGTTATTTGCCTCTGACCATTCCCTGCAATGTTATGATAGATAACCCCTTTCATAATCCATACTTCAGCAAAAATTTAAGAATTATACTGGTGAAAAACCAAACTTAAGGGAATAGTCGGGAATACTCTGGTCAGAAGGTTAATTTGCAAGAAAAAGTCTGAAATTGCAATAGTTATAAACTAGACTTCAGCAAAAAACAGGAATTACATTGTTCAAAGTCCACATGAAGTCTGAAATTACTGTTCAGAGAAAACAAAAAATTGATTATAAACCAAACATGATTTTTCATGGCAATACTTATGTGTTCAATAAAAGAATGCGAAGAATATGAACAAGAAACCAATGGACTTGTCTTGTTATTGCACAGGACAGGAAATCACCAATACGGAAACTTTGCCAATGCAGGATAAGCACAAAAGCAAAGTAACAGCTGCAGAAATGAGGTACCGGGTGGTACAAGATCCGTATAGATAATAAGAGGCTCCCAAAAAGATGATGATAGACACCCAGAAAGAAGTAGCTGTCAGTATCAAGAACAAAACATACATAACGTTGGCAGAAGACTAGATACTGCTTCTAAAAAACTAAATACTGCTTTCTGAAGACTAGATACTGCTCTGGAAGATTAAATACTGCTTTCTGAAGACTAGATACTGCCGACAGGTCTAAATACAGCGTCTGGAACACTAAATACTGCTTTCTAAAGACTAAAATTGCTTTGTGGAGACTAAATACTGCTTTCTGAAGACTAGCTACTGCTGACAGGTCTAGATACTGCAAAAGAAAGATAAGATATTGTTGGAGAAAACATTAAAAAGGCGCCGGTGCCCCCTTTTAGGTGCAGTGCACCCCTTGCACCCCCCGGTAGCGCCGCCTCTGGCTAAACTGTTACAATTTTGAACAATATTTTGAAGAAAACCATAAATTAGTTGCAAATTAAGATCTACGCAGTAAAATAAACTCTATAGGACATTTGGGGGTGGCTGGGGTTAACTACCCTAACCACCCCAAAAATTATTTTTTTTTACAATTTACCACGATGATACTTTTGAAAGAACTTACAAGGGTTAGAAGTATGGAGTAGAAAATATATTTTCACTAATAATTTTCATACTCCTACAGAAAAAGTTTTTTTATCCTTACTCTATTTAAATAACACAAAAGTTAGTGTAATTATATAAATCTTTATTAATAACGAATTAAAAAGTAACTGACAAAAGAATGATTGACTATCACAAATTGTATTCTACATTATTAATTTAATTTCTTTTTTTATTCAATGTATTGCTGGCAATAATGAAAATCATGGAAAAACTGTTTTAAACACAACGATTGTTTACACCATGCACAAGTTATAACAGCTATATCTCCACAGATATCGCACGTAGGTTTTTCATTGGAAAAGCAAACCGCCACGGAATTTTCAAACTGTTCTGGTCTCTCCTCTATACAGTGTGTTTCATAATATATGCGCAGGACTTCAGGATGTGATAGCATGTCCAAAAATTTGAAAAATAGTTTCTATCAACTTACCCTCTAAAATGCACCATTTTCGAGATACAGGGTGTTGAAATTAAAAAATAAAATCGTTTTTTGCGAATATCTCTGGAACCGTTTATCGTACAGAAAACAGCTTTTGTAAGCATCTACTCATAATAAGCAAAGTTTTGTGCGAGAAAAAATTTTTTAAAGTCATAATTGGTGAAGATTTTGAAGGGATAGTGATTGTTTTTCTCCCCAACTTCTACGCCACTGGAAAAAGTACGGTTTTGAGACGCCCATTTGAACCGCCAATGTTTTCTACACAAAAAACGTACTGAAGGTCATGAGCTCTAAATTTGACCGTTTTCGAGAAAAATCAACTTTTATGTTGAATAACAAGGTCAATTTTTTTTAAATAAAAATTTTGTTTTACAATTAAAAAAAATTTACCAAAGCAAGCGTTAACTTCATAATTGCAATATAAAAAAAAGAAAAAATAATACATGGTCAATTATTTGAAATAAAAATTTTGTTGTACTAAAACGTTAGAACAAGTAACAAAAGCAAACGTTAACTTCATAATTGCATAATTAAAAAAAAACAATTACAAATCATACACAGTTAAATGCGATGCCAAACATTTATGGAAAATTGTTGCTGATGATGACCTTCTGCAATTCCATGTGGATTTTCTTCTGTCCATATATGGTTATTGTGAAACTTGAAAATACCATCTTTCGAGAAAGATGCTTCATCGGTAAACAGAACTTCGGCTCCAAACTCAGAGCTATTTTGTCTTGCATCTAAAATCTTTCGAAAAATCTTTTGACAATTACGCTTGTACTCTTTGGATATGGTAGGGACGCAAAAGTTGCCTTTTCAAAATTCTCCAAACCGTCGAGTGAGATAGGTTTAAGTTGTGAGCAATTTTTCTGGTACTTGTGGTCGGATTTTCATCAATTTAGTTGAGGACAGTCTCTTCTACTTGGGGATTTGCAATTTCCATAGACCGCCCATTATCAGCAGTATTCCTTTTAAAACTTCTATTTTCCCATAGTCGTTGATAAATTCGTAGAAACAAGTTATGGTGTGTTACTGGGCGATCAGGTTATCTTTCTTGCTACAACCGCCTTGATTCTGCCGAATTACCGCACGCTATTCCGTAATAGTATATTAAAAAACAAGTTTCGTAAGACACGTTTGAAATGCACGAATTCAAGTTGAAAAACGAGTGGCGAAGCCACGAGTTTTTTAATGAATGAGTGCTTTAAGTCTTATGAAACGTGTTTTTTATGCTATTTTTTGTAATTCGNATACTCTGGTCAGAAGGTTAATTTGCAAGAAAAAGTCTGAAATTGCAATAGTTATAAACTAGACTTCAGCAAAAAACAGGAATTACATTGTTCAAAGTCCACATGAAGTCTGAAATTACTGTTCAGAGAAAACAAAAAATTGATTATAAACCAAGTATGATTTTTCATGGCAATACTTATGTGTTCAATAAACGAATGCGAAGAATATGAACAAGAAACCAATGGACTTGTCTTATTATTGCACAGGACAGGAAATCACCAATACGGAAACTTTGCCAATGCAGGATAAGCACAAAAGCAAAGTAACAGCTAAAGTATAGATACTGCTTTCTGAAGACTAGATACTGCCGACAGGTCTAAATACAGCGTCTGGAACACTAAATACTGCTTTCTAAAGACTAAAATTGCTTTGTGGAGACTAAATACTGCTTTCTGAAGACTAGCTACTGCTGACAGGTCTAGATACTGCAAAAGAAAGATAAGATATTGTTGGAGAAAACATTAAAAAGGCGCCGGTGCCCCCTTTTAGGTGCAGTGCACCCCTTGCACCCCCCGGTAGCGCCGCCTCTGGCTAAACTGTTACAATTTTGAACAATATTTTGAAGAAAACCATAAATTAGTTGCAAATTAAGATCTACGCAGTAAAATAAACTCTATAGGACATTTGGGGGTGGCTGGGGTTACTACCCTAACCACCCCAAAAATTAATTTTTTTTACAATTTACCACGACGATTTTTTTATACGTTAGGTAGTACTTTTGAAAGAACTTACAAGGGTTAGAAGTATGGAGTAGAAAATATATTTTCACTAATAATTTTCATACTCCTACAGAAAAAGTTTTTTTTATCCTTACTCTATTTAAATAACACAAAAGTTAGTGTAATTATATAAATCTTTATTAATAACGAATTAAAAAGTAACTGACAAAAGAATGGTTGACTATCACAAATTGTATTCTACATTATAAATTTAATTTCTTTTTTTATTCAATGTATTGCTGGCAATAATGAAAATCATGGAAAAAATGTTTTAAACACAACGATTGTTTGTTTAAAACCATGCACAAGTTATAACAGCTATATCTCCACAGATATCGCACGTAGGTTTTTCATTGGAAAAGCAAACCGCCACGGAATTTTCAAA